TATATATATATGTGTGTGTGTGTGTGTGTGTTACAGTAAAAAAGCTGGCATATCTATGTTAAAGTAAGAACACGTAGATCAATCTAGTTAATACGCGTAATCACTGAATATTTCAGTGAAAACGCGCAACCCCTGTACCGTGGCGGGGCTATTACGTGAATTCACTGAATGCTCAGTACATATGTAGTAAAAACACGTAAAATGATAGGTCTAATTTTAGGGATTTCGCGTAATCACTAGACATTTCAGTGATTACGTGAAACCCCTGAGTGAAACGGGGATTACGTGTATTCACTAAAATATTCAGTGATTACGCGTATTCACTAGGTACGCATTCTTACTGTAACAATTTGGACCTCCCTGTCCTCCTTGTTGAATCGCTTCGCATCAATCAGTCTGTGTGTAACGCCCTGTTTGACTAATATTAGTTTTCCATGATGGGTCTCACTACATGGATTCGTGTAGGTCAAGTAGCCAGGGCATTTGAAATTTTCTACGTTCGTCTCCTGAAGCATCATACTATCCGTTTCATAGATAAGCTTTTCCAGGTCTCTACCTCTTTGCCTGACACTGCAGCAATTCCAGTAGAATATGGTCAGGTTTTTGTTTCTAAGCCTGTCTGACTTTTTCCGACTTTTCCTCATCCCGGAACGTTTCTTTCTACAGCCTCCTCTCCGTCCCCTTTTCCTTGGTACCTTTTTAGGCGATAATGCCGGGAGCGTCGTCAAGGGAGCACGATCTCCGTAGCTCCCGCGCCGCTTCCCTTTTAAAGAAATATAATTTAAATTCATGATGCTTTTTTATAACTTGGGGATGTATACTGTCACCCTGGGAGAGCCCCATACCAGGGTAGGGGACATATTCATGCCTGGCGCCGCCCCTGAGGACGCGAAACACCCACGTAAGCGACTGACTAACCCGCAGCCATACATCCCGTGGGCACGTTGGTACACCTTGGTCTTAGGGATTTTTTGTCGAGGTTGTCTCCTCTAGATCCGTTGTGTTCTGTTCCTGAACCGCAAGGTTTGGGTTAACAGTGTCATCTCTGGAAGGATGTGGCTCTTCGCTCACGCACAACTGTCTTGAGGTAATGAAAGGTTGGCTGGGTACATGGACTGACAGCTCGAGATGCATGCCACTTTCACTGAAAAAAAAATCCAGCTATACCCAGAGGTGCCTAAGGGGGAGAGCTCGGTGTCTCCACAGTGTCTCCGCTTCCCAAGAACCGTAACATCATTACCCCCTGGGCTCCCGCCCTTGACACCCACTTCTAGATAGTTATATGTATAGAGCAAGCGAGACAGACAACTGTCGAATACGATACAATCTATTCAATACCTTGATCAAGTACAACTTTGTACTGCAGGTCTAACAAGTTTCAACATTATCAATAATCCAGAAGAGAAAAAAGGACGTCTTTTTCCGAAGTATAATGACAGTTTGCTAACTGATATACTACTTTCTCTTTCAAGACTATAGTCCAAACCTCATTAATGATAATAATAATAATGATTATAATGGTAATGATAATGATAATGATAATAATAATAATGACAATAAGATAAGATAATACTTTATTACCCCAGAGGGAAATTTTTGTTGGCTGTACAGGACGTAAAAACACGTGCAGGTATAGATGAAAATTCAAATTATATACTAATTTAATTAAAAGTTAATATAAAAAGAGAAGTAAATCTGACAAAATGTACATATCACATCAGATGCGCCATTCAACCACATGCATGAATTTGATTAGAAACATACTCGAAAGAGTCATACACATTGATGCTTATTCTGACAATAGTCCTAAGCTAGATGGTAAAAATTTTCTCTCATATCTTTCTTTCTTAGTTTTTAGAGGTACATATCTTCCGCTGCGTGATCTAACAATTTGAGTGGAAAGGGGGTTTGATAGGTCGTTTATAATGCTTTTTTTCCCTTCTTTTTATACTTGTGGTGTTATACATTTCATAAATTCTAGTAAAATCACATCCAGAGATCTTGTTGGCTTTCTTAATGGTTCTGTGGAATTTTTCTTTATCCTTAACCCTACAATTCCCAACCCAGCAGCAAATACAAAATATTAGCCCAGTTTCAATAATAGAATGGTATACAAGGGACATACTCTTATTATCGACCCAAAAACTTCTTAATTTCCTTTAAAGGAACATACTTTGATGTACTTTTTTATGCACAAGAGCAGCTTGGGGATGCCAGTCTAACTTGTTATCAATTGTTATTTTAAGATATTCCAAGATTTTCCACATCCTCCTCCTCATCTTAATAAAGAGTGGTTGCAACTGGTCTTTTTTTTAAACTCATAAGTCTATTTTTAATTCCTTTAGTTTTTTGTTTTAGTAGAGATTTTATGGCGTTCGCAACTGCATCGGGTCATATGAGCGCCAGAAGATTAGAGGTGTTACAAGAGAGTAACAAACAAAAAAGAAGAAGCGAGATAAGGACGATAGATGTTTGATAGGAAAGAAGGAGCAAACCACACCAGAGCACCTGCCAACCACCCACTTTAATTCCTTTGTCATTTTTACGTTTAGTTAAAAGAAGTGGTTATCACACTAATTTGTAAATACATTGATAGCGTCCCTGTATTCATTCTCGTTTGTTGTTATGAGGCCTTGTACTTGTAGAATGGAATCATGCGCAAATTTTATTAGTTTGATGTTTTTGTTATCCAAAAGTACAGTCGTTGGTGTAAAACGTAAACAAGACAGGGGATATTACACAACCTAGGGGCGCACTTGTGTTTGTGAATATTAGGTCGGATTTCACACCATTTAATTTTACATATTGAGGTCGATTGGTTAAGAACTCAAGAGTCCAAGCCATGATAATGTTCTTGTTTATGTTCATATAAATTATATTGAAATTATTATGTGGGGTTGGATTGTGTTGAAAGGGGATGAAAGCAAAACGTATACTGTAGCATTTTCTTGGTGTGTCTACGTGTTTGTACATGTTATCTAAAAACATGAGAATAACTATTATAAACAGAAAGAAAAAGAAGAATGATTGTAATAATGACCATAATAATTATATATTTTTTTCAGCGAGTTAGAAGAAATAAGCATTAAAATGACTTGTGGCTTCTGTTATAGCCAATGAGACCAATTCTGGTTGACAAGAGTTTGTCACATTATGAACATTTAAAAGCTCCATTTCCACTTTCAAACCCAATTCACCATAGTGAGAATTCACTAACAGTCTGTTGGATAAAATGATAGCGAGATTCAGTTTTCTAATATAGTTCTAATTTACCTACAGCAGTTTTTCCCGATCGTTGGGCATATTACTCCAAATACAGTTGCTTGTCTTTTGGGGAAAAGACGAGATAGTAGAGCAACCAATGGGTGTATTGTTTCACCCCTGAGAGAACTAACACGTTATTGCATACGTTCAGTTCATCCGTTGGAATAATAGCATTCTGCGTCTTCTATCTGTACATTATGTATTCTACTCAGAAAATGCCAAACAAACAAACGATCCTAGAAACTCATGGTTGGCATATTGCATTTTTTTATAGATTTTTTATTCTTGGGGGGGGGGGGGTAGAAATACAATATTAGACTTGCAATAACATTACTGTCCTTGAATTAGGTCAAGTGTCCTTATTCCGTACAGCGAGTCGACTATATTTTACATAACATCTATTACTTTCTGTTCAGCTTGGAAATGAACTACACAGCATTCATTGACTGAAGTGTGTAATATTGCGCTTTGTTGGCCATGAGTTGAGCATGGGTGCCTGCCTCAGTCACTACACCCTGCTCAAAGACAATGATCTTGTCAGCATTCTGGATCGTGGACAGTCGGTGAGCGATGGTTACGCATGTGCGGCCTTGTCGGGCTTTATCCAAAGCTTCTTGGACGATCTGAGAATGTTAAAAGATAGCATTGGGACATCAGTGGACAGGATTTCAGGTTGAATGCGAATCTTTCTTACCTTGTAGTATAATGTACAGTAGGATGCAATGCCAATATACCCTCCCCCTTGCAAAGAGTTAGAGAGCCGGGAAAGAACCGATCCCCGCTAGAATATGAACTTCTTTCAACCCACCTCCACAGTCGGGTGTCCTATACGACAGGTTAACTAAAGGTAGTTTTCATGCGTCTGAAAGAGACTGCAACGTACCCACAAAATCGAAAACAAATATTATTATGACACTCATTCCGTCCGTGCAACAGCTGCTATTCACCCACATGTACATAAGCATAGGTGAGCACACCTGCATTTTCATGCTATCGAATATACTTTAATTATTATTTTGAGGACATATTTTGTACCAGGATTATGAATGAAATTTAGTAATAATAGGCGTATAAACTGGTATTTTTCCACGTTAAGAGAGGCATTACTATTAACGAAAGAGTATGCAGAAACAACCCATTTTTCTAATTATGACGAATAAGCATACAAAGGCACATACCGAAACAATTACACACTAACAATCCGGCGTAGAGACATTCAAACTCATGCACAGTTAGTTACACTTTTTGAGGTGCGAAAATCTATATAGATCTTTGCGTAACAGACACTACAAACATCTCTCGAAAATCACCTTTTCACTTTCTGTATCCAGGGCTGACGTGGCCTCGTCCAACAAAAGAATCTTGGGATTTCTGACAAGCGCCCTTGCTATCGCCACTCTCTGTTTCTGACCTCCACTGAGCTGAGTGCCTCGGCCTCCAACGTTTGTCTCATAACCCTGAAAAGAGTTAGAGAAGACATTAATAGTTTGTTTACATCCCCCCCTCCCCAAACCCCCCTCCCCCCCCCCAAAATAAACCTGTCCCTCCAATTTAAAAAAAAGGAAAAAATGATCAAATATCACAAATCAACTCTACGAGAAGAATAGAACCTCATTTAGGAGACAACCCGCGCAGAATAGGGGCATCTGAAAAATAGAAACAACGGGTTACAATTTGGTAGTAAAATTTAGTTATGTTTCAGGGACTAAACAAAATCAAAATGTTTCGCACCCGTTCCACAGTGGGAAATTTGACTTTTTTAAATAGTGTTTTTGCGAATTTCTTTTTTTTTTCTTTTCGCTTCGGAATCTAATACTTCTGAGATCAAATGGTGTGCAGGTCTTCTTTAGCTCTCCCATCTCTCGCCAACCCCTTCGCTGATCTTACTCGATCACTTCGTTCCTCATTCTCGCCTATTCTGCGTTTCTTTCTGTGTTTTTATAAATATATATATATATATATATATATATATATATATAACTCGCTCACTTCGTTCCTCCTTCTCGCCTTTTCTACGTTTCTTTCTGTGTTATATATATATATATATATAGATAGATAGATAGATAGATAGATAGATAGATAGATAGATAGATAGATAGATAGATAGATAGATAGATAGATAGATAGATAGATAGATAGATAGATAGATAGACAGATAGATAGGTAGATAGATAGATAGATAGATAGACCACCCCACACACGCATACACACATGAGATGAGGACCGGTGTCTGCGACAAACAGAAAGTGTGAGTATGTGGAAGATTTCTGAGTGGAAATTTATTTTATTGAGTATCTCCGCCTGTCTGTTACGATGACGTGTTCCACACATCCTACTTTGGTCCCGACAGGTAGGTGCAAAGCTGCCTCCCCTGTGAATGATATATCAGTTGTATCGATGGTGGCGGAAAATGCCTACGATCATAATATACAGTACTGAAGTGATGACAAAGCAACTCACCAGCGGGAGAGCCTCTATGAAGGAATGAACGTTGGCATTTTTTGCTGCCTGAATGATTTCTTCCATTCCCACTTTGCGAGTGTTGTCACCGTAGGCGATATTTTCTGCAATGCTCCGATTAAAAAGTGTAGGTTCCTGGAACACGATGCCGATCTGATTGCGAAGCCACTGGATGTTCAAGGATTTAGAATCATGACCTCCGAGAATCTGTAAAGTGTGTAATGACAATGACAACCAGAAAAGTAAACGCTGTACTACTAAAGCAAAGCAAGGACAAAAAGCACTAATGCAGACTCAGGTATATGAACTGTGAGCATGTCCGTAACACGCTTATGGGCCAGCGGGTAAAGACATTTTATTTTGTTATCTAAAAATGTAAGAACAACTCTTCCTTTGGGGTTTTTTTTACAGTTCATAGTAGTTATTTCAGCCTCTACAGACACTGGCTTTTTTTATCCCGTGTCCTGATTTTGGTGCCCATATGTTAGTTACGTAAGAATGTATTGACACGGTGCAAATTGTTATGTTTTCTGGAAAAACGAAACAAGAAAAAGGGGAATTATTAAGTCGGCTAAAGACACTGGCTGATTCTTTGAACCTCGGGCCGAAGTGCTCAAACTGAGATGTCCGCTGAGTCAGAGAAAAATAAAATGAAATGAAAAATGTTTGGAACCTAAATGTTTAACATCCACATTGGCACAATTTAAATCTTAAGGAGGAAGGCAACATCGATCCTGCCCGCTAAGGCCAACCCTAAACTAATGGGACACTACATCCTACCAAAAAGACAAAGATAAAAATAGAAGTTTTCCCTAGGTGGAATCGAATTTATTATGTCTTCTTCCCGCAGCTTGAGCGTTACTACGTCATAAAGATAGTTGAACATTTTGTTTCATTTTATTTTATTATATTTCGTTTCACTTTATTCTATCTTATTTTACTTTTCTGCTAATCATTTTTTCAAAATTTCATCTTATCCATCTTTAAAACCATTTACTTTTATTTTTTTGCTATCTATTTATTTTTTGTTTGTTCATTTAAATTGTTTTATTTATTTGTTTATTTGTATTTAATTATTTCCTTTTGGGGGGGGGGGGGGGGGCAATGGGCCGTACTAAAGCTCTATGTCAGATTCTAGTGATGTATGTGTAGGGTTCAATTTTCCTGGCAATCCTTCTGCAAGGTAAAGAAGCAGGCGGAGAAAGGATGAGGAGATTGGTGTAGAGAGGAAGGATAATTATTATAAAGCAGAAAATAAATGGGTTTTCACGCTTCATTTTCAACGTACCAGTCTACCCTCTTTTGGGTCATAAAATCTCTCCAGGAGGCTGATGGTAGTGCTCTTACCACACCCACTGGCGCCAACTAGGGCTACTGTCTGCCCGGGCTCCACTGTCAGGTTTAGTCCTTGTAAGATTGGCACGCTAGGCCGGGTGGGATAGGAGAAGTGGACACCTTTAAACTCTATATTGCTGCCGAACTGTGGAACGAGGCAGAAAGTAAGTCTTAATTTATTTGAATTCTTTTTGCAGAGCGATGATATGGCAAGGAATATGATATTGAAGAGTTTTATAATATCACTGAGACAACTGTGTTTTTACTGTCCAGGACAAACAGGCAGCCTTCTTGTCTTTCTATATAGATAATAAACATATTATGTGTTCCATGGTAGAGACTTGCTAAGTAACTGATTCTTTTTCATGTGGTCAATATATAAATATGCCAAGGAAGGAATGAAGAATTACCTATCCCTTTATTAATTCCCGAGATGAAAAACTAAATTTCTACCATTCACTCTCAGAACTAATTCCACGCACAATTTCACTCGCTCATTTTGATGGCAATAAAAAGATTGCGTATCTTCTGAAAAACTTTTATTCATAAATGCCTTAAGAGTATTGACAACAGTTAATTTTAAACTTCGAAGATTCTGACAATAATGGTTGTCATCATTATTCCATCGTCCTTACAGTTTATTTGTAATGAAAACAAAAAGAGAAATAGATGGAATATCACATTTACAAAGAGAAGTAACATATTATCGTTAAAAGCGACGATGAAACCACCGAATACAAGCACACTAGAGATAAAACTGCAGAGTTAACCTCATAATGATGCTGTTGGTATCTATGGTAGTGACGAGGAGAATGTAAACAGCTACAAAACAACGATAACAGAAGCTGAATAACAATAAGAATAAGGCAATAACAGACAGTAGTAACAACACCAACACCAAAACCAACATTGCGAACTAGGAAATCAAGAACTGCATCACCTCCTTAGGTTGTGCACCTTCTTTTGAGAAGGCATCTATGGCTGGCACAGCGTCAGTCAGTTTGAAAATCCGTCTTGCGGCGACCTTGGCTGCTCCAACGCTTGGAAACAGACTCGAGCCCTCTCCCAGATAAGCAGAGCCGTACAGGATACATACCAATACTCTGTGGTGAAAGATGTGTGAGACTGAACTCTTTTTCTGGCTTGCGTCATTATCATAATTTCTATCTAAAATGAATTCTGCTTTCGGAGACACACTTTCTGGGGGTTTTTCAGTAAAATATAGGAGCAAGTCTTTTGCTTTCCTCATTTTGGTTTCGGGGACCCTAAAAAGATAACAATCTCAGCACGGTCAAAAGATACATATAGTGCGTCTGAGTTGATCATATATTATGGCAATAGAAGGATTTGACTTGCTATGAGTATTATAT